AACCCCCCATAATTCTCAACACAATATTCTTGGTTACACAAATCTAATTGGACGTTATCAGACTTCGGTTAGATGACACCCCGATAAAAAGTGATTATGTGTAGTTTGCTAGTGTGTATGCATAGGTTGGAGGTTGAAGATGAAAAGCAATGGTGGTAAGTGTTTATAGTTTCATCAAGTTGAAATAATGCATATATGATGTATTTATAATTGAAGAAATATACTGGCAAAGAGGGAAACTTCGGAATTAAAACAATTGGGAAAATTTTACCCAAATAACAAGATATGCTTACCTGAAACACATATGTGTCAACACATGAGTATAAAATTTTCATCATGTGCCGACCTGACCAAGGCTATAATCTGACACGTGTAACACATATCCTACAAGTCTTAATATAACAGTACATATGTCGACCTGAAAATCGTATGTGCTAACACATAGAGTTGAAACTTCAGTATGTGTCGGTCTGAAAAACGGATGTGCTGACACATGCTAGTGTCTTTTATACAGAAAATGATTTTTCATGTTTGATACCAATTCCAACCTTGTTCCAGATGTTTCCTAAGACCTCTAATGCAAGGTTACACCAAAGCAACTCATAAATATTGTCCAATATACCGAAATGCTAAGTTCTCCTAATTTTGACATCATGCAAAACATCTAAAGGCAAGTTGCACTCATATATATGGTAAAATTATAATATGTAAATTGTTTGTTTAAGACACAAGGATACCATTGATATGGTAAGGTACAATTTTATTTTGAAGATGAATTGAAATGTTTGACTCCTTCAATCAACATTTGAAGAAGAGTAAGTGAATATCTTTGTATCTAGAAATTTAATTATCATGATATAACCTTTATCTTATGGATTAGTTATTGTATTATTTCCCTCTTCATTATGTTCCCTTGAATTATTCTACTTTTTCTTCTTCTCGATGATGTCAAAAGAGGGAGAAATTGTAAAGTAGGTTTGTTCTTGTTCGTGATATTTTCAGGAGGAGAAAAGTCTAAAATTAAAAAAGTCAGGGAGAGATATACAAGATAGAGGAATTTTCTAGTTGTTTTGTAAATTGCAAGATTCACAAATATTAAAGCAACTCGTTGATAAACAAGAAAATTTCAAAGGATGTTTGTCATCATAAAAAATAGAAATTTTTTGAAGAAAAGCCTCTCATTGATCTTGGCTAGGTTTTTGATGAAGACAAATACATCAACAAAAGAAAAATAAAATAAAAAGTCAACTATAATCAACAAAGAAGAAAAAAATAAAGTCAATAAATGATAAAGATGAAGACAACAATTGATTATGAAAAAGTGGTAATGATTAACATTGAACAAAGTTAAGATTGTCTTTATCTTTGATATATCATCATTCATCATATATATCAATTAAAAACTCATAAAATATCACTCAAACTCAACCTAAATTATTTTCAAAGTTATTGCATGAAAACCATTGAAGATGTGTTTGAAAACGCTATTTTTTAGTGCTGAAAATTGTTTTTAGTGCTGAGAGGAAAATGGTATTCAAATATTAGTATACATTTTTTTTAAAATTGGTGTGTTACAAAATGATATTTAACTACCAGGATGATGTATTCTAATACCAGTTAAACCAATATTTTTTTCATGAAACATAATCACTATTTTGCTTGGCAATGTTTAATAGAAACTTTTCTAACTTGCACAATAATTTATAGAGGTTTCTAAGCGTGTACACAGGGGCGGATCCAGTCATTATATATTGGTGTGGCTAAGTATAAAAGAAAGTATGAACTAAAGAGAACAATGAAACCATTTAAAAAATTTATTCATACTATAAAGAGAACGGTAAAATTAATTTATTATAAAAATTATGTAACATTAAAACAAATCAATATTTTTTTTTTGATAGGAACTTATAAATATTAACTTTTTCTTTCTGGATATTGAAAGAAACCGAGAGGTAAAGTTTTGTGCATTTTGAAAATGCAAAAATAATATATTAGTCACAAAAAAAATGACACACTTTCTATAACATTATTTTTTATCTCTGTTAGCAAATCGAAATAAATCCTCTTTTTTCAACCGTGGCAAATCACTTACTCGTAATAGTGAGAGTCATTATTTAATCACTAAATTTTTTGTTTAATTCTTGTAATTGTTTGTCAAGGGTGTAAAAAAGATTTCAACTCTAAAATAAAGTTCTATTATGACTTGTTTCTCTTTAAAACAAGAACGCACGAATCATTAAGGTTGGAAATCTCAATATCACGATTTTAAAAAAATATGTCACTCTAATAAATAATTTATCTCAATTGTTTTCTCTCGATTCTTAAATAAGAGTTTTTTTTGAACAAACTAAAAGTATAACCTTCATTACATTCTAATGTTGTTTTTGTAAGTTTGACAAAACATATTTGTTAACTCAATAATTTCTTTCATTAAATTTAAAATAAATATAAAATAAAATTCCTTTACATAATTATAAAAACTATGAACATTCTCACTTGTATCATAATTTCTCATTATTTTTCTGAATTTTCTTTTAGTATATAATTAAAAAAATAAAATAAAGGGATGACCATGGTCTTACTAGTCTCTATGTGGTGCAAATTACCCAACTCATACTTTAGAATCTATCATGCTCTTTTCAATTTTTATCTTTTCCAAACATATTTCCAATTATTAATAACGTTTGCATTTCGATCTTATAATCAAAGAAAATTGTCTAAAAATAAATGTTATTTTTTATATGTAAAATTAATTAAATTTTATCTATCAAATTTATCTTTAATTTAGTGTAGTTTACAGTATTTTCAAATCATTAAATTTCACTTTATATTTATAACAATACATAATAACTAATAATAATAATTTAAAAAATTAATCTTATAAAATTGTATAGTTTAATTATCTTATATATAAAAATTGTTAAGTTTTAAAACCAAAACTTAGGATAACAGTCATTTCTATGATATTTACTCATTATTTAAATATTTGTAAAAAGTAAAATTTTCTTCCACTGACTAACTAAAAAACTTCACTTCTATCCCACTAACTATTAAAAGATTTTTTATTGATTTATTTAAGGTAAATTCCAATTAATTAAATAAATTAATGATTCTAAAAGGATATTAAGTAAATTGTATTCCACTCATTTAATTTAATTTAATTTAATTTAATTTAATTATTTATTTAATTTAAAAATATATGGAAGTTATTTAATTTAATTAAATTATTAATAAAAAAAGTGAATGGTGTTTAGTGAGAACTTAGTTTTTAGTGGATAGGTGTAATTAATTGTACTTTAGTATTGCCACCCCTTCATACTTTTTCTTAACTCTTCTGTGTTGCCATTTCATATGAGACTTTAGTATTTCAAAGTTTTAGTACTGTTCAATTAAAAGTTTGTTACTACAACTGATCTCTTCTAATTATGATTCTGTTTATTTTTGTAGAAATAATTTTATTTTTATTTTAATTATTATTGATGTTTTCTAATTCGTGGATATGCTTTTTTTTTTTAGGTGAAACTTTAAGGTATAAATTTATTATTCACTTTTCTTCTTTTTTGTTTAAATCATTATTTGGCTTTGTTTCCAATTCCTAATTTTAAAATATTCATTATTCATATTTGTTTATCTTTTAATTATAATTTTGTTGTTGTAATCTTCTAATTATAGTTATGTTTGTATTTTTGGTATAAATTATGATCTTATGTTTATTATTGTTTATTATTATTGATGTTTTATAATTCGTGATTGTGTTTTTATTTTTTAGGTGAAACTTTAGGTATAAAAATGATTTGGTTTGTGAGAAAGAAGTTAGAAGATGAATAAAAAAATATTATTTATGTTTGATAATTATGGTTATATTACTTTTTGTTGGTATAAATTTTAAAATTCTTGATAACTATAGAAGAGTGGCAACATACGAACACCACTTTAAAAGTTGTTTATAAAAATTATTTGTATTCTAATTTTTATATTTATTTACCTATATTTTATTTTACTTACTTTTAATTGAAAGTGTGGCAAATATTGTTTTTAATTTATCTACTAAATTTATAAATTAATTATATAACCTTGACACTTTACGTGTGTGACATTTTTATATTTTAATTTTTCCACTTATTTATCTATATTTTCTTTCATTTACTTTTCAATAAAAAATATGACAAACATCTTATATAATTTATGCACTAAATTTATTAATTAATTTTATAAACTTTTTTTTATTATTAGTAATAATTCAATAAGTGTGCGACATTGTAGGTATGTGACATTTTATTTTTCTTCTTATATTTATATTTACTTATCTATATTTTACTTTATTTACTACATTTCAATAAAAGTGTGGCAAACATTATATTTAATTTATCTACTAAATTATAAATTAATTTTATAAATTTGTTATCATTGATAATAATTCAATAGGTGTGTGACATAGGAGGTGTGTGATATATTTTACTTCATTTACTTTTCAATCAAAAGTATAGCAAATATTATATGTAATTTATCTACTGAATTTATAAATTAATTTTATAAATTTGTTATTATTAATAATAATTTAATAGCATATTCCGAGCATCCCACATGTAGACGACTAGTTGATTTATTATTTTTCTTAATTATTTTGTAACTAGCTTAACTATTTTTGTGCCGTTTATTAAAGGATGGTTCTGTTCACACCATTCCTAATACAGTCCACTAAAGAATGAATGATAAAAGAAGTCAATAGCACATACTACTTTACAATAAATAAATAAATAAATCATATAGCATTACAAAATCCAGGTAACAACCATATTTATCTTAGCATAGATGGAGAGAGTCTACAATATATGAACAAAACTATAACCTTAGATTACAATAACACATTTACAATCATAGTTAGAAACATACAACAGAAATCACAATATAGGGAGAGGGAGACTTCATGTTATTACTATATAAGACCTTGAAATTTTTAACAAGGTCATATTAAAAACTACCTAAGAAGTAATCCAAACTCACAAAATCTGCCTCATGCTGTTTGTAAAAGACCAACTAAAAGATTTCCTACTTGTTGGCCTTGGAGCAAAATTGAGTCCAAACATTTCCTTAAGAGCTTGTTCTGGCTCTACTGGACCAACCAGCTTTACAACAACAGCTGCACTTTCTCTAATGTGACCCATGCTGTTTGTCTCAGTCCATAGATGATGTGCCAACTGTAATCTCCTATGCTTTGAACTTAAACGGAGGCCCCATTTCAAGTATAGATTCTCTCTGTCAGCTTTAGATAGTTTCTTCTGCATTTGCTTGCATAACATTTGTCTCTCTCTTCTTAGATATCTCATGCTGTTTTCGAGTCAAAGACAGTGTAGTTTGTAAGTTTAATTTGTAAACTTTCCATTTTGAAATATGTAGAACTATGTAGCACTAACACCTCTGAAAAAGATGTGTCAGTGTCAGGGTCGGTGTTTGAAACTGACACCGACACTTGTGATTACGTGTAATTTATTCATTTTTTAAAATTATTATAGGTGTGGACATGTCAGTGTCAGTGTCGTGTTTCTGGTGTCCGTGCTTCATAATTTCATAAAACATTTATATTTGAAATGTTACCTTGACTCGGGGGTAAGGGTTCTTCCATCTTCAAGAGTCTTATTGCCTAGTGAAAAAGTTTGCTTAAGATATGATAGCCTTCTGTGCTCTACCTCCAAATAAATAGAATCTAAGGGATCCCCTTTGAAGAGAAGGAAAAAGTAAGTTCTGTGAACCAATGAAACATTACAAGCATCCCAGAGTTCAATAATCTCCTTTTGCAGCCTGTTAAATTTTGAAGGCCAATCGGAATGAGTTTCTCCATCATCTTGCATTGGGTCCAAACCAATATTTTTGACATTTTTTGTAGACATAATGGCATCTGTTCCAGGAACCTGTCATGCAAAATAAACTCAAACAATCATTGACTAAAATCATGCTTTTGGTATAATTATGTGCTACTTTTCTTAAAAATTACGCAGGGAAAAAATTACTATTTACATCTGTCTCCGAAGGAAGTTGACCTCTATTTCTAAAGGTTATAAGATCAAACTCTAACGTGAGTAGACAACAACTCATGTGACATGTTTATGAAGTCAGTTTGTAAGGTAAGGAATGTCTAACTAAATATTTGTCTCACGGCATATGAAGAGTGATTCGAGTGGCCCAATAGTAAGTGACTCATCGGATCTTTTATAGATTTTGATATCATCTTGGAAATTACACTGGTCCTATACAAAATTGGTCTGTAAGGTGATGAATGACTACCACTTATAAACTCATTTTCAGACCATGTTTCATGAAGTGAGACTCTAAATACACACCCATATCACGAGTGAATTGTTAAAATGAACCAACAGAGCAATGGTTTTTAAAAAGTATACCAATGGATCCAATAAGGCAAGAAGTCATATTTGATTATCAAGGCTGAGAAATAAGGCCAATAATAAGTGGAAAAACCGAAACAAGGAAGGAAAATTTACGATATAAGCTTACCTCATGGTGATCCAGTAAATTCAACCTCTTAAGATGTTCTTTTTCCTTATTATTTGGAGTTAAAGGATCATTGCTCTCGCTTTCCTTTTCATTGAAGGATTTCACACTCCGTGCATCATCATCAAGAGAACTTTCCACAAAATTCCTCTCAGCATCTAAATTATAACTTAGTGTATGAACCTTTCTCAGAAATCCTCCAGGTCTTCCAAAAAAGTCTTTTTCATTCCCTATTGGAGGAGGAGTGTTCTGAATTACATCATCATCTTCAAACCAATCAGAAGATAAGTTCCTCATGAGACTAGCTTTACAAGTTCTACTTCGGCTTAACTTCAAATTTCTAGAACTACTTTTTCTTTTGTTTTCTGTCATCCAAGGAGTACTGTTTTCTGGAGTTGGAACAAAATATTCGTGCAAACTGTTCGATCTATTGTCTTCCTTTAACCCTGATGAACAAAAATCCTTATTGTTTTTGTCGCCATTGTTAACTACAATTGATCCCAACACGCCTATTTTTCCGCGAGGAGATGATGCACTAGAATTGGTATATGTATTTGATCTTAAATCTTCTGAATTTGAATGTGTATGCGTGTCTGTGATAGGCTCTTCTAACTCAATGCACCTAACTTCTTTACAATAATCCTCTTCATGCTGATCTTCAATGTTCTTCTGATCCAAATCATTCCGAACAGCATTATTAATGCTTGTAACTGATAGCCTAGGGGAAGGATTTTTTACCATAAAATTCTTTTCAAGGTCGGGGAGTTGGAACAAGTTATCATCAGAACTAATACTATGTCCATCTGAGTATTGTGAAGCATCAAAGGACCTAACACTTTCTTCACAGTTAATACTTAATACATTCGGTTCCTCTTTAAGATTTTCTAAATTCCATGTGTTTCGAACACGCAATTCGGGATACTGAGGACCTAAACTTTCCTGGAGATTTGGAAGGAAAAATAGATTAGAACAAATTAAAAATGTATGATTACTATTTTGATGATACCGTTCATGCAAATATAGCTCACCACTCCTATTAAAGAAGACATGTTATCTCCCGCTTCTTGGAGAATGTCCTTAATTTGAACTTGTGCAAGGTCGCGCTGCAAGGTTAGCTCCTTTACCTCTATCCTTAACTGCATATAAAGAGTTTGTACATGGAATCAACAAAAAACAAATGCAAAGAGTTTTTGCATCAAAAGCTTTATTATTACCATCTCAATTTCGCGATCTTTCTCTCTCAATAATGCTGAAGAATCAGAACTATTAGGGCGAGCCGATCCTGAATTTCTCAATTCACTTTCCAGTTTAGCCAACTCCTTTTGTAATTGCTTGACTAGTGCTTTATCAGACACCACTACATTGACTTGTGCCTTAGTTTCAACTTCCTTAGCACAACTTGCAAATAAGAGAGTGTTTCTGCTCTGCTCGACGTGGCTCCGTGCAGGGCTCATGGTGCAAATGATTGCAGTTCTAGCATTTCCTCCTAATGACGATTGCAATATGCGCGTTAGCTTTGAATCTCTGAAAGGAATATGTCCATTTCTTCCCTTACTGCAAACAAATTCATTGCTTATTATGTTTTTTCTAATTTAGGCACATGACAAATATTGAAACATAATCTTCATAGGCTAACCTGAGTTTGCGGATAACAGTTCCTAGAGTTAGTAAACTACGATTTATGTGGCAACCTTCTTTCAACCTTGCCCCAGCTGAATTGGTCTGGGACGCTCTTTCACTTCCAGCAAGATCAACAAAATTCTATTCCACAAAAAAAAATCATCGTCTCATTTCATATAGATGTTCATTAACATAACAAAATTGATACTTGAAATCTATTCCCATAAAAGAAGCAAATTAGTCATACCACTGATGCTGAAAGAGAGCTAAACTTGTCATTTCCAAGAAACTCGCGCGCTGAACTTTCAACCGTCTGAAGTACCGCATTGTTAAGCAAATGTAAGACAAGATGTGCCATAAAATTTCACTGAGTTCTTCAACAAAAATAACAACATATCGTACCAGTCTGAGAATCTGATGAGATCTAGAGCTTGCTTCATTCAGTGATGTCTCTCCTATCTGCCTTTGAGCTGCAAATATTTGAATCAAACAACAATGATTTTATTAGCAAAAATGAAAACCAAAGGAAATAAACTCAATCAAATACATCACTCAAACCCTTCTTACTTTCACAAAAAGAAATGAGCTCTATAAAATGGTCCCAATCCCTAATATTTTCCTCAGTAAGTTTCTCAATAACTGTTCCTCGCTGTCAAAATTAACACAAACCATAAGTAAAAATGCATACATACTCACAAGCCCTTTTGGAAAATGATAATCTACTTTATTTACCTCTGGATCATCAAGAAGTCTAAGAGGAGTACAATCTGGAATAAGAAGATCCCTGACAGATTCATTATAAATCTCAATTGCTGAAAACTTCAAAATGAATTCTCTGTCCATGTGCTATAAAACAAGCAAAATCCAAATTTAAGAAAAAAATACGATTTTGAAAAGGACCAAGTAATGCAAGGATGCAAATCCTCTCCCACAGCAGAACAATATATCAAAAATTGCTTCACCATGTCACAATGGGAGAGGATCCATATCTGCAATGCAATGGCGAATATAACTGTGCACGCGCGTGTGTTTTTCTTTCATACCTTTTCTATATAGTTAAAAATGTCTTCTACAGTGCATTCAGTTATACCACTCATGGTATAAGTTTTTCCGCTGCTGGTTTGTCCATACGCAAAAATGCTCGCTGATAGATTAAAGTCATAGAAAAATGTTAAAAATCGCAAGTTCTACAAAGCTAATTCTGATAAAAGATGAAAAAAAATCATCAAATAAACTCACAATTGATTCCACCAACAACAGAAATAGCAACATCTTTAGCCGCTTCTTCATACACTTTCCTTGTATCACAATCTGATCTAAACACTCTATCTACAATAACCAAATCAAAACAAAGATTTCCAAATTTAGTAACTACATTTTTCAAATTCCATGTTTCAGAAATAAAATCAAACAGGTAGCCTGCAACATACCAAATGAATAAGCTGTTGGATATAGAGATCTTTCAGAAGCTGAAACACTATTCCTGTAAATAATTGTACTATCATTGATACATTCCCAATCAGAAACATCATTTCTGGCAATTTCCTTATCATTCAACGGCCGAAGCCGAACCGAAACTTGAATTCTCTCCTCATAATTCACTCCAGCCTCTTCAACCACCTCATCCCCTCCAACAGAACCCATTTTTTTCTCTTCAATTATCTAACTCAAAATTCCAACAATGACAATGACAATGATTATCATTACCACTACCACATGTCATTGAAACACAAGAACCACTCAAAACTTCAACCCCCAATCATTATCTGCATACACAAAATATTCAAAGGTTAAATAAACTCTTGATTCAGAAGAATAACAAACATGTTCATATACTTTATATTACATTGAATTAAATAGTATATATTTATTTGTAAGATCTTATATTTAATTAATGAGAATAAAAATGAGTTGGTTTCTGTATTGTTTTGGAAAGATTGGAGTTTTGTGAAATGGTCCCCATTGAGATGAACATCATCACATGGAAAGTAGAGAAAATTTACCAAAGGGTTGGGAGTTGATTTTTTTCTTTTTTTTTTCAAAGAAAATTCTTTATACAATTTTTATTTGCAGATAAATTCATAGAGAGAGAATTTTGAAAATGAATGGATGAAAAATCTAGTGCTCTAAATTTAGCATGTGGAGTATAATAGAAATAGAACATAGTAGAAATAGGAAATATGAATAAAAACAAATAAAATCTATAAAAAAAACTCTGGAAATTATGAAAATAAAAGTAGAATTGGATTGTTATTCTGACAGAAAAAACTGTATCAGATTTCTGAGATAGGAAAACTCAAGTGGAAGTGAACCTCACATATTTTAAGTATAGGAAAATAAAATTTGTTGTTTGATTCAAGTGTTTGTGACAAACACGTTGTTATATTAAATAGTATGTGAAGAATTATTATTTAGTGGTATGAGGTGAAGAATGCAGTGTGGGAGTTAAAGTTTCAAAGTTAATAGAATTAAGAGAAAATGAAAGAAAAAATATATGCAGTAGTACTCTTTACAACTCATACAAATGTGCTGTCATATTGAAAGAAATGAGAGCTTAAAGTAAAAGTTGAATGGAGAGATTGGAACTTTTTTCTTCTTTTACTGTCACTGCCAAAAGGGAATGTGCATCTCTGGATGTTATGCTATTGCTGTGACTCAGCTTTTGAAAATGAATTAGAACAATAGAAAGAACTCATTACTCATATGGAAGAAAGATATAAGGAAGATGTGACTCTTTATTTGAATATGTAATGTCATTAAGGTAATGATTTAAAAAAGCAAATTATTTATTTTATTTTTTTATAGTTTTTTACAAATGTACAATTTTTTAGCCTTCGTGCAATAATAGTAAATTTTGTAAGGAGTTGTTTCTTTCAGAGATTTTAAGAGGTTGATATTGTGGATGAAGTTGTTTGGAGGAGTTGTTAATCGATGTGAAGACATTATTGATGGGTTATGAAGAGAGTAGGGTTGTCGAGTTAATATATTTTATGCCACAATTATGGGATTTTTAGAATGAGATTCTTCTATTTCGTTCTTGCATGAATATCGTCAAACTTTTTTTAGCCTTAGAACGTGTCAACTTAATCATACGGAGAAAACAACTATTTAGTTTGATAAGAGTTGCGAAAGGCGGTGGAAGACATGGTGAAAGTCCTTTCTTCGGAAATCTTTCATGGGGGTAGTTTCTTTACCTATTAGAGTTGGGGGCTGGATTTGTACTCAAGGTTGCCTCATACGCGTTTGTGGTTTCTAGGGACCAATTTTGAGTGTTATTGAGAGATAGTGGGATATATGATATGGACCTTGATTTCGATAGAGTTTTGGACAATCTTAGGAGTGTGATTCGAGATTTTGACCTTAGCGGTTTTACTAGAAAGGATATCGTTCATCCTAAAACACAACATATTTTGGCGGGTATCTTTTTTAGTAAAAGTATTCAGGACATGGATGTAAAGTTTGACATGACCAAAAGACGGAAAGTAGTTTTTGGTTGTTTGCAAGCAACACATGCTTAAGATTTTCTCATTGTTATCCTTATTGATGGTTTAGGACACATGTCCCTTATATAGTAATGTGTCATCCTTAGATACTGATTTATGATTCCCTTATTTCCTGTTGACGATGTTTGTCATGTTTACTACAAGTCGTGCTTAGATACATTAGGATAACACGTTATTCATTGTAAGAAACTTTTAGGATTCAAATATCGATATGATTTTGTTAGGGATATCATATTTAATATATTTAGACGTATCGGGGTGGGTATCTTTGAAAAAAGAAATATTTGTGAATTTTCTTATTGACCCACAAAAGGAGAGATTGATACTTAGAACAACAAATATTGTGGTGTATGGGGGTGGATAGAAGGAAAACATGCATGTATAGACTTGACTAGGGTTCCTCTACTAATGAAACTCTGGACTCAAAGGTTTATTATGGACAGATTACTCTCAAAACCATTTTAAGTAAAATAGTCAAACATGAAAAAACGTTTTCTGATAATCAATATACTTTTATACTATTTATCTTTGACATTTTTTATTTTATATATTAAAAATAGTGATTTTTTTACAGAGTAAATATTAAAACTTATGTTTAGAAATGTTGTGTCCCCCCAAAAAAATGTATTTTTTAAAATAATTGGTTTTATGATATTGATGAACTATGATAAGTTTAATATTGATGATAGAAGGAAGAATACTTTATAAAATAAATTTTCTACAATTAAATGTATTATTTTATATTATAATTAATTTTAATTAAACGACTTGTCAATTATTGATGAATGGAACTACAATGTTATTGTCACATATTAAATGAAGATGAAATTTCTGCAAAACTGAAAAACATAAATGAATTCAAAAACTATAAAATAGAAGAACAAAAAGTCGAATTTTAAAATAAAAAACTAAATTCTATCTAAACTAAAATGCATTGTATATGAATTTAAATTAACAGTTTTTTTTAGTAAATCAAATATATGAATGTTCAAATAATTTTCAAATTATTTGATATAATATAAAAAAATCAATTTAAAGTATCATATACTTTTAAAATACTAATAAATTATTAATTATGATTTTATCATTGCACCAATTTTTATATTTTTTGATATGAATGATTATTAAAGTAATATAAAAACATTAACCGTTAAATTGGTAAAATTCATTTCTCCATAAAATTATATTATTAAGTAGAATAATTTAAACAAGACTTATTCTTATAATAAATTGATTCTTGAAAGCTTTTATTACATAAATTATAATTTGTCCACAGCAATATGTTAAATTACCTAATTTTTATATTAAGATTTTTAATATATTATTTTTGATATATTTTATTAATGTATTAAATAATTTTAAATTCATAAATTTTATAGAAAAAATTAACTTTAAATTCAACTTTAAAAATATAAATATGTAGCAGTGAATTATCAATATATAATTTTAGCTTACACGTTCCTCTTCTTTCATCTCACTTCTATAGCATTTTAACTCAATCTTCCACTTCTACTAAGTAACTTTGCCCTCCTAACTTAATAAATTCCTTAACACACATGTAAAGTTACAATAAGATCTGTTGCCCTGACCAAAAAATAATATATCATATAATTACATATTATATAATTACAAAAAAAAAAACTCAAAAAGAGGAGATTATTAATGTACTTAAGTCTCTAAATTTTAATGTGTAAAGTAGCATCATGTTTAGAGCATGGAACATGACTGAAAAGACTACCGATAAGAGGGAGAAAAAAAAGTTGAATCATATAATAACGTTATATTATATAGATAGGTCTATAAGATGGGGCAAGCACGTGGTGGCGGTGCCTTTTCACCACTTTTTCATACCTTGCAAAAAGTTATAATAACTACCGCTTAATTTCAAGTTTCAACCTCCTTTATCACACAAGAAATAAGTTTCAATGGTTTGACATTGCAACAATCAATTGAGTTTTGTTAACATGAGTTTCTTTGCAAAGTACTATACACTTTTTTTCAGAGCAACTCATTCTTCAACAAAAAAAAAATTTAAGCAAAGAAAAGTTTATAAATGAAAAAAAGTATACAAAAGAGGAGGATAAAGATCAAAAATCTCCGGAGCTAACAAAAACGAAAATACAGAAGACCTAATCTATTTCGAACTATATCGTCAACAACAGACACTGAAGTTTCATTCCACCAAACAAAGCCTTGAATGAATAAACCCAATGAAATTAGTTTATTTGAACAATAGTTCCTTTCTCTAAAGATGTAGGATATTATATTAAGTTTATGTAAACAATTTAGCCATATGTTTTTTAGAGGACAAAGGACAATGCTAATATTGTTAAAGGCTAGAAAGACTAGTTTGGAATCGGTTTCGACCCAAAGATGCTTCCAATACTTATCAAAGGCTACTTCAATCGCCCTCATTACTCCAATAAATTCAGCATTTAGAGCATAGTTTTAATCAAGATTTTCTACAAAGCAATCCAAAAGATTTGCGGAGTGATCCCTAAAAATTTCTCCACAAGCGGCATGACCAGGAACGACAAGAAAAGTTTCGTCAGAGTTGCATTTGATCCAAGATTAAAGAAGTGGCTTCCAAATGACTTCAATAATTATTGGGGCCTTAGGGGGGGTGAGAGACGACTTTGATGGCTTTAAGGATTCGAAAGTCTCTAATACTACTAGATGTAGTGACTTTGTAAAATTTCCAGTCATATTAACACTGGAGATCAACAAATTCAAAGCACTCTTCCATTGGATGCTTTTATTTTAGAATTTTCTCTGATTTCTACAGAACCATATGATGTTGAAGGTATTAATAATAGCAGAAATAATCATCACTCCCTTAGAAAACATTTTAAAAAGGAATTATGTTTGATACATGACTTCTCTAATGTTTTTCTTTTTACTAAAAAGAGATTTTACCATTGAGAATAAACTCTTATTTTGGTTGCAGGTTCGAGGAAACAAAGAGTGTTATAGAAAGTGTGTCACTTTTTTCTTCGAATCACTGGCTAAAACAAAAAATTAAAAAGTGTGTTATTTTCTCCTCGATTGGGAGATATATTGAAGGAAAATCTCTCACTTTTTTTGGTAAGGATTGTTAATCGAGGAAAATGGTTAGGGGGATCACTTTCACATCAGTGAGAT